CCTGCATTAGAAACCATGCCTATAGGTTATTGTATGCATTAGAAGACATGTTTATATGTTCATCATGTTATTCGCTCTAAATTTTTATTTATGCATGTTCATATCCGCGCTAAAAATCCTGTCTCTAGGTTGTTGTTAATTCAGCCTTAACAATCATGTTCATAAATTCTCCTATGTGCATTAGGAACCATGTTCTAGGACTTCTTTGTTACATTCACCTTGATATCATACCTGCAGTCAAATCATGTAAAATCAGTTTTTTTCAGTAGCAATCAGGCCTATAGGAAATAAGTATAAAAGCATTCCTGGCACCTAGATATCAGGCGTATATATAAACTAGTTCTGTAACGCTTGTAATTATTTTTTAACACCTAGAAAGCATGCCAATAAGACCTAATGAACCAAACTGTTTGCTTAAAATCGTTCACTAGTTTATTGCGGTTCTAATTAACAATTAGATATCATGTTTATAGGAGGTGGGTGTGGCCCCCATACAAGGATGGATAATATTAGGAATGAAGATATTCGAGAGAAGGTGGGTGTGGCCCCCATGGAGGACAAGATGCGGGAAGCAAGACTCAGATGGTTCGGGCACATTCAGAGGAGGAGCACTGATGCACCGGTGAGGAGGTGTGAGCGACTGGCTGTGGTGGGCACGAGGAGAGGTAGAGGGAGACCTAAGAAGTATTGGGGAGAGGTGATCAGGCAGGACATGGCGCGACTTAGGATTACTGAGGCATGGCCCTTAACAGAGAATTGTGGAGGTCGAGCATTAAGGTTGTAGGTTAGGGGGAAGTTGTGAATATTTCTACAGCGCACTAGAGTGAGACTGGCCAGTTAGGAGTTAGTCTTAGGATGCTACTGATGAACTAACTGATGATGGGCTTTATCTGTTGGTTATTAGTATACTTTATATCTTTTTCGTATTTCCTATATTCTTATATTGCTGTTATTTTGTTATTTTATGGTATTTTATGTTATGTTATAGATTCTATATTATTTTATGTTATTTTATTATGAGTCTATTGATAGTGCTAATATATCGTCTCTTGTTGCCTTCTTGAGCCGAGGGTCTCCTGGAAACAGCCTCTCTGCCCCTCGGGGTAGGGGTAAGGTCTGCGTACATATTACCCTCCCCAGACCCCACTTGTGGGATTATACTGGGTTGTTGTTGTTGTTGTTGTTATTGTTTATAGGAAGTCTTTGATCCACGCCTAGGAAAGCCTGTAGGACGATTAAAATCTTGAAATTATAAAATTGTGCTTTGTTTAAATGTTTGTGAACTGCCCAGATTCAGCTAGTCCTAAAATCAGTAGGCAAACTGATTAAATGCCTTCTGCCTCGCTTTAATAAAAACACTGTATATGTTCCGCTTTGTGCTCACCTAGATATCCTGCTATAAGACTTTTAAAGTATCCGAAACACTGTTGTTTGAGACGTGCAATTGCCTGCTTATTTGTGAAGGTAAACATGAGCCTTTAACTGTTCCTTTATCTGACAGTCATATTTGTTTTGCCTGTCGCTTAGATTTTCTCCTTTAAGTACGATGGAAAGTCTATATCCACCTTAACTAGAAGTCCTAAAAACCTCCAGGACCATAAGTAAGGGACGAGTAATGCACGCATAGAGTACGTTTAATTAGAATCGCTTATATAGCCACTAAGGAGAGGGTAATCGGGTAGTAAAGGATATGATGAACTGTGCGCTAATGCTATGTGTAGAACCCCAACTTGGGGACGATTACCAAGTATGGCACAGAAGTGATCCTATAGGCTAAAAAACCTAGGACCCCTTTACCCTTTTTTTTTAAACGTAATATCTATTTGTCTAAATTGCTTTGTTTGCTTATAAGACTAATTCCCCTAATTTGAGTTTGGCCGGGACCCACTGTTGTGGACCTCGAGGGTTGCCTAACACCTTCCCCTCAAGGTCATTTCGAGCCCTTACCCAATCTCTGGTAATGCAAACAGGTTTATGAGTTATTTGCTTTAGGTGTCCTAACGTACCTTAAATCCGTTAGGTGGTGACTCATCAAATTTCATACCCAATTCCCAAAAGGAAATGAGTTGTTCCCAAGAATGTCGAAACACGGACTCCGCGAGAAAAAAAGGGGCGCGACAGGTAATATAGTCTTCATATGTTTTTATTTTCGTGCTTCTCCGACTTTAGCATTTACCACCTTTGGGTTGATTTCTACAGCTTGAGAAGATAGATGTCTCGATGAGAGAGGGGCTCAGAGCCAGGGATATTGAGATTCTCGGGCTTAAGCAGCGTGTGGATGAGATAACCTCCGAGAGAGATACCCTCTAGGGGAACTTGACCTTGGTTGATCATCATCTTTAGGATGCAAGGGCGGATAGTAACAAGTATAAGGATCTCCATGCTGAATCGGTCGTCGCGCTATCTGCAGCCAAGTCCGAAGCTGATACGCTCATATCCTCATACCAAGATGATGCTGCCGCTGCGAATGCTCGAGCCAAGAAGGTGTCTGAAGAGGCCGATCTTGAACTGGCCCGATCCTTGAAGCATGCCCGATTAAGATCTCAGAGATAGGCTCTCGAGGATATACATGCAGGGAGAATCAATATGTCTGATGAAATTGAGAGGGTGAAGGCTCCAGAGGAAGAATCGGCGGCTCTTCTTTCTTCCGATGATGGTTCAGCTAGTGGTTTGGCCAGCGATTTAGAGGATGATGAAGTTGAAAGTGAAGTCCCCGAGGGGGAGGAGGCTGCTGATATTCTAGGGGCAGAGGGCCAAGCCGTTGTAGGTACAGCTCCTGAGGGAGCTCCGTCCGGTCAAGTGACCCCGGTAGTAGATTAGGTTTTTCTTTGTTTTAGTGTAATGGGCCCCTCGTGGACTTTGTAAACATCCTTTATTAATACGAGGATTTCTTTATTTTGCCTTCGATTTGCATTGAATCCAAGTGTATAACTCTAACGGTTAGTCCGAATACTAGACCCGGAACGTAATAACCTCTTAGGTTTTTGATTAGTTGATATGATGCTTCTTAAAGTCCTTTGTTATATCTCGGACTAAGCTTGGATTGATTTGCTGCGAACTCAGGTCACATGGACTTCTGAGTCCGAGTTAAGTGAGAACTGGGTATCAATTTTTTGAAGTAAGGCTAGCCTTTTCAGGCCTCGTTAATAGTCCTTGAGTGAGAAATTTCTCGAACTCAGGTAGCCTTTGGATTTAGCAACCGGGAGTGTTTTCCCGATCACCTGAAAATAAAGATAGCTCTCAATTGAGTGAAAATTTGTTTGATCTTGAAATAAAGATAGCCCTAAGGCTTTATATATAGTCCCCGAGTGAGAATTTCCTCGAACTCTGGTAGCCCTTGGGCTTAACAGTCGAGTGAGAGTTTGCTCGAACTCGAAATAAAGATATCCCTAAGGCTTTATTAATAGTCCCCGAGTGAGAACTTGCTCGAACTCGGGTATCCCTTAGGCTTAGCAGTCGAGTGAGCATTTGCTCGAACTCGAAATAAATATAGCCTTAAGGCCTTTTTTAGGCTAGCCCTTAAGCTCTTACGCGTTGGCCCTCAGGCTCTTTTTAGATTGGTCGATGCGACCTCTAATCTGGCTATAGTTTTCCCTCATTTTGGCAAAAGACTTTTGAAGTTTTGATTATTGCCTTGGCATGTTTTATGTTCGTCCGACTCTTTGACGGCTCATAGAGAACCTCGATTATGAGTCGATATGTGATAGCTGAGTACCTCGGGAGGTCGTCAAAGGCTGAGTTTTCAAAACCTTTTGATCGAAGACTGATTATTTTTGAAGCCTTTTTATGCGGAGCTGATATTACCAAAGCTCCTTTGCTTATGTCGTGGGTAGCCTGATTAACCGGTTCTTTTCGAAGTATTTGCAGGCCTTTAATTTTATGGCAGCGATCGGACGTCTCCGAGCTGCGCTAATTTGGCCGGAGCCTTTTGATATGATCGTAGTCTTTATGTTCGGTCGTAGCCTTTAATCCCCGGGTAAGATAACCTCGGCGCCTTTATCGAGCGTATGCCTTTTTAGGGATCTTACAAGTTTGATATATTGCCTTGATCTTAATATCAGGGTTATGACTTTTTAAGGTCTTATAAGTTTTGGCATTCCTCGTTAAGGTCTTACAAATTTGGTGTTGCCTCACTGAGGGCTTACGAGCTCGGAGTTGTCTGATCGAGGTCTTACGAATTCGAGTTTTCGATGGCTCGATGAGCTGACTGTCGATGACAGTCCTCGAGTGTTCGAGAGTTTTTTGGCCCTTGAGCCTTCTTATGAGAAAGTAGTGAACTTTTTCGAGGCACAAAGTGTTTTGATAAGAAAAGAGGCTTCCTTGATTACTTGAAATATGCTTACATCTTTTTTGCCTTTTTAGGATCGATTATTCTACATGGACACGATTCATTTGACCGTTTGGCCCAATACAACATTCTCCTATCAAGGTTCTCCTAGGCATAGTTCGATTTCTTTGAAGAGGTGACCTCCTGGGGCGATGCCCCCCAGTATTTGGGGTTGATCAAAGAGAAGCCTCAAATACTTGATGAGTTCTTCTTAGGTAGCATATGGATGTTGCCTCATTAAAAACCTCGACGGTAAAACCCGTTTCGGATAAACCTCGGTCTAAGGGAAAAAGAGTGCAACGCATACTTTAAAACCCAAGGTCTTTGAGCTGGAGGGTGCTTCGACTCCTCTTAATCGAACACCTGCAATAGGTTAGTATAACACATACGTGAAAAGGGAGAAGTTTTTACCTTAGCAATAATAGCATTTGAGCATCGATATGTTCCAATTCCTAAGAAGTTGCTCACCTTCCATGGTGCCAAGTTTGTAGGACCCTTTGCCTACTACTTCGAGGACGTGATACGGTCCTTCCCAGCTTGGGCCTAGCTTCCCTTCATTTGGGTTTCGAGTATTGAGGGTGACTTTCCTTAGGACTAGGTCCCCGACTCCGAAGTATCAGAAGTTTGTTCTCCTGTTGTAATATATCTTGATCCTCTATTTTTGGACGGCCATTCAAACTAGTGCAGCCTCTCGCTTTTCATCTAGTAGATCGAGGGCTACGGTCATGGCTTCACTGTTTGAGTCCTCAGTGGCATGTCGGAATCTGGTGCTTGGCTCTTCGACCTCGACTGGTATCAATGCCTCGGACCCGTATACCAAAGAGAACGGTGTCTCCCCTATGCTTGACTTTCCAGTTTTTCGGTATGCCCTTAGTACTTCAGGAAATACCTCTCTCCATTTTCCCTTCGCATTTTCTAACCTCCTTTTCAATTTTTGGATGATGGTCTTTTTTGTGGACTCGTCCTGTCCATTTGCACACGGGTGATAGGGAGTTGAAGAATCCTCCTGATCTTACGATATTCCAGGAATTTCGTCACCTTGCTGCCTATGAACTGCTTCCCATTGTCACATGCAATCTTAGAGGGAGTCCCGAATCGGCATATGATATCGTCCCAGATGAAGTCAATGACTTCTTTTTCTCTTATCTTCTCGAAGGCCTGTGCTTCCACCATTTCGAGAAATAGTCAATCATAAATAGAATAAATCTAACTTTACCTGGCGCCGTTGGTAGGTGGCCGACGATGTCCATCCCCCATTTCATGAACGGTTATGGTGATAAGACCGAATGCAGTTGTTCACCAGGTTGGTGAATCATAGGTGAGAACCTTTGGCATTTGTCACACCTTCGAATGAATTCCTTGGTGTCCTTTTCCATGCTATTCCAATTATAGCCTGCTCTGATCACCTTTCGAACCAAAGAATTGGCACCGAAATGGTTTCCACAAGTGCCCTCGTGGATTTCCTGAAGTACATAATCGGTGTCCCCTGGTCCTAAGCATACTGCTAGAGGTCCGTCGAAGGTCCTTCTGTAAAGTGTTCCATTCTCATCGAGTGAAAATCGAGCTGCTTTGGCTCGAAGGGCCCTCGATTCTTTTGGGTCCGTGGGCAGCTTCCCGTTTCTTAAATAGTCGATGTATTCATTCCTCCAATCCCATGATAGACTTGTTGAGTTTATCTCGGCGTGGCCTTCTTCAATCACCGACTTGGATAATTGTACAACAGCCCCCCTGGAGTATGTCATCTTCTTCGACGTACAACCCCAGGTTTGCGAGTGCATCATCCTCGCTATTCTGATCTCGAGGAATGTGGACCAGAGTCCATTATTTGAAGCGATGCAATATGACCTGAAGTTTGTCTAAGTATCTTTGCATCCTGTCTTCTCGAACCTCGAAGCTCCCATTTACTTGGTTGACTACCAGAAGGGAGTCACATTTTACTTCAACGACTTCTGCTCCTAGGCTCTTGGCCAGTTCGAGAACTGCAATTATAGCCTCATAATCGGCCTCGTTGTTAGTAAAATTCAGAGTTTTTATAGATTGCCTAATCATACCGCCCATAGGCAGTTTTAGAACAATCCCGAGTCCGGACCCATTCACATTCGAGGCACCGTCGGTGAAAAGGGTCCATACTCCCAAAGACGTGCCCGTTCTTAGCAAGAGTTCTCTCTCTGCCTCGGGCATGAGGGCAGGCATAAAGTTGGCCACGAAGTCCGCCAGAATTTGGGACTTGATAGCCGTACGGGGTTGGCACTCGATATCATACCCTCCGAGATCAATGACCCATTTGGCCAATCTGCCCGATAATTCAGGTTTGTGCAAGATGTTTCGAAGAGGGTATGTTGTTAAAACACATATACGGTGGCATTGAAAATAAGGTTTTAATTTCCAAGATGCACTTATTAATGCAAGAGCTAATTTTTCTAAGTGTGGATACCTGTTTTCAGCGTCTCCTAGAGTCCGACTTACGTAATAAACAGGGAATTGCGTACCTTGTTCTTCCCGAACCAACATACCGCTTACCGCTACTTCGGATACGGTCAGATATAGGTACAACATTTCATCTTCCTTCGTGGTGTAGAGCAAAGGCGGGCTCGAGAGATACCGCTTTAATTCCTCTAAAGCGTGTTGGAATTCCGGAGTCCATTCAAAGCTGTTTTTCTTCTTGAGCAGGGAGAAAAAATGATGACTCCGATCTGACGATCTCGAGATGAATCGACCTAAGGCAGCTATCCGCTCAGTCAGCCGTTGTACGGCCTTCACGTTGTTCACCATCGTGATTTCTTCAATGTCCTTGATTTTGTCGGGGCTGATCTCAATCCCTCTATTCAACACCATGAAGACTAAAAATTTACCAGATCCTACTCCGAAGGCACATTTCTCGGGGTTGAGCTTCATGTTGTAGCTCCTAAGGATGTCGAATGATTCTTGCAAATGAGTCAAATAGTCCTCTACTCGCAGGGACTTAACTAGCATATCATCAATGTAAACTTCTATGGATTGGCCTATTTGATGTTCAACCATCTTATTAACTAGGCGTTGGTATGTAGCTCCTGCGTTTTTTAGCCCGAAGGGCACTACATTATAACAGCATGTACCATACATCGTGATGAACGAATTCTTTTCCCTATCCTCTAGTTCATTTGAATTTGATTATACCCAGAGTAGGCGTCGAGAAAAGTGAGGATCTCATGGCCGGCCATGGAATCAATCAAGCAATCGATGTTGGGTAACGGGAATGTCTTTGGGGCATGCTTTATTCAAGTCTTTATAATCTACGCACATTCTTAGTTTATTTCCCTTTTTGGGAACCACCACTACATTATCCAACCATTCAGGGTATTTTACCTCCCTAATTGATCCTATTTTGAGGAGTTTTGTTACCTCGTCTTTGATGAACATATGTTTTACCTCGGATTGAGGCCTCCTTTTTTGCTTCACTGGATTTAACATGGGATCGACGCTTAGTCGATGGGTGGCTATTTCTAGTGGGATCCCTGTCATGTCTATATGGGACCAAGCAAAGCAATCAATGTTGTTAACAAGAAATTGGATGAGTTTTTTTCCTGAGCTCGGGGGTTAATCCTGTTCCCAGGTATACCTTTTGATCTGGAAGATGCTTGATCAAGACGGCCTGTTCGAGTTCTTCGACCGTTAATTTCGTTGCATCCGACTCCTCGGGGGCAATGAAGGTCCGAGGGGTGAGGAAGTCTTCTTCGTCATCTTCGTTCGAACGCTCACAGACCACCTATTCCTCGAGGATCGGCCCGTTTCCTGACTCGTCCTGGATGAGGGAAGTCGATGTTGGTGCCACGTCATTTACCGTGAATATCTCCTTTGTTGAACGTTGTTCTCCGAACACCGTTTTTATACCGTATTTTGTTGGGAATTTCATCATCTGGTAAAGAGTTGATGGTACCGCCCTCTTGTTGTGTATCCATGGTCTACCTTATGTCACCTTCGATGACATGAAACTTGGTGTCCTGAACTGTATCGGACACGGTGACTGGGAGGATGACTTCCTCCTTCGTTATCTCGCTCGCCATGTTGAATCCATTGAGCATTCGAGAGGTGAGTATGATCTGGTGGAGCAGTCCGAGCTGCTCCACTACCTTTGACCTGATTATGTTGGCCGAGCTACCTGGATCCACGAGCACACGTTTAATTTAAACATTATTCAAAAGAAAGGAAATTACCAGTGCATCATCATGTGGTTGGGACAAGGCCTCGATGTCTTCTTCTCTAAATATAAGGGCGTCCACGGGTATATAGCTACGAGTTTGCCTTTCTGTTGCGACGGACACTTTGGACCGCTTGAACATAGGTCCCAGTGGGACGTCGGTCCCTCCAACGATCATATGAATGATGTGCTGAGGTTGTTCTAGTCTGTTCTTTCCATGAATCCCAGTACCGTTATCTTCGTGTGCATTTGCTGAGTTAGACATTTTTTGACCTGGAATCAAAGATCCTTGGACAAGAAAAAGTGTGAATAATAACTTATGTTTTCAGGAAACTATCACCGAAACAATCACTATTATTTTTAGCCCCACGGTGATGTGACGACCCGACCCGTCGTCACGTGATTTACCGCCGCGTTTTCCCCATTTTCAGTTTCCTTATGTGTTATTATACGAGTCTTGTGTGAATGAGTTGATGTGGATTGATTCTGGATGGAAATGAGACACTTAGTCTCTTCAAGGAAGGTTTGTTTTGAAAAGTCAACCGGATGTTGACTATTGAGTTAGAGGGCTCAGATATGATTTCCGGTGATTCGGTTAGCTTCAGGGGATGATTTGAGGCTTAGGAGTGTGACCGGAATTGATTTTGGAGGTCCGGTGTAGAATTAGGCTTGAATTGGCAAAGTTAGTGTTTTGGCGAATTCCGGTTGATAGGTGAGATTTTGATCCGAGGGTCAGAATGGAATTCCGAGAGTTGTAGTAGCTTCGTTAGGTGATTTGGGATGTGTGTGCAAAATTTCAGATGATTCGGAGGTGGTTTGGTTGGGTTTTTGATCGAATGGGAGTTTCGGAAGAATTTTGGGAGAACTTAGGCTTGGATTTGATGTAATTTGATGGTTTTAGTGTTAATCGTGGTGTTTTGATGATTGGAACAAGTTTGGGTGATGTTTTAAGATATGTTGGTGTTTTTGGTTGAGGTCCCGGGGGCCTCGAGGTGAGTTCGGATGGTTAAACGGAGAGTTTTGGAATTTTTCATGTTGCTGAGCCTGCTGCAACTGGTATTTTCGCTTCTGCGAATCTTGGACCGCAGAAGCGGACACACTTGTGCGAAGGATTGACCGCAGAAGCGGTGAGGAGGCCTGGGCGCTGGTTCCGCAGAAGCGATTGTCTAACCGCAAAAGCGGTGTCGCTTATGCGTTTGTGTAACCGCAGAAGCGGATGAGCTCGAGTTTGGAATTTTCGCAGAAGCGGAAGAAAGTCGCGAAACCGGTCCCGCATAAGCGGGAAAGGGAATGCAAAAGCGAAAAGAGCCGGGCAGATTTATATTATTTCCTCCGCGAGCTAGGTCTTATTTTCACCATTGTTGAGCAACGTTGGGAGCTTTTTGACGAGGATTAAGGAGGGTTTCGACGGGAATTGATTGGAGGTGAGTCTCGTAACCTAGAATCATCATTTTTTTGAAGAATCAACACCTAAATTCTTGGAAATTTGATTAAAAATGGAAGAACTAGGGCTTGACTTTTGAAATGGAAATTTGGAGTTTGAGGGAGCATTGGAGCTCGGATTTTGGTAAATTTGATATGTATGGACTCGTGGCGAGGTAAGGAATCCATTGATGTTAATTTTATAATTTTTCGAGAAGTGGACCCGGGGCTCGGGTTCTGCTAGTTTCGAGATTTTTGCTATATTTTGATTGTTTTTGATTGGGTATTGTTCCCTTGGCATATTGTGATGTATTCGCTCTGATGTTGGATAGATTCGACGCGCGTGGAGGCCGATTTGAGGGGCTAAGGCGTCGCGAGCTAGAGATTTCACCGGTTCGAGGTGAGTAATGATTGTAAATGATAGTCTGAGGGTTTGAAACCCCGGATTTGCACATCATAGTGGTGTATTGAGGTGACTTGCACGCCGGATAGCGAGCGTGGGGTAGAGCACCGTTGGGGATTGTGACTTGGTCCGTCCCGATTGATGAAATTACTACTTATTTGACTGAAACTACTTGTTATCATCATAATGTGGGCTGATTGCCATGTTTGGGCTTCGTGCCAACTATGTGAATCCTTCAGGGATTGATATCACTATTTTCGCATTACTTTGCATATTACTTGATCTCGGTCCAGGGTTTTAATACTGTTTTGCAAACTCAGCCATTTTTCTAAGATTTGAAAACTTAAACAACATTTTATTGATGTTTTGAGCTGAGAACTATCATTTTAATATTGCCCAAGTGGCTTATGTGCATTTCTGGACTGAGCATAGATCGGGCTGTGCGCCGCAGCAGTGTTATAGTGATTTTTGGAAATATGGATGGCTCGGGCTGCGTGCCGCAGCGGTATTGTATTGATATTGAGGCCGAGGGCCTGGTTGGTGCCACGAGATGGCTTGATTATTTGCGCTTGGGCTGTAGGAGCCCCTCCGAAGTCTGCACACACCCCCAGTGAGCACCGTCGACGATAAATAAATGGATGGCTCGGGCTGCACGCCGCAGTGGGTACTGGAGTGTACCATCATATGCATTGCATTGCACTCATGCATTTGTTCTTTATCTGTTATACCTGCCTTAGTATCTGTACTCTGATTTCATTGACTCGTTGCTTGACTATTTGATGTTCTACACTGCCAGTTATAGTTTATCTTGTATTTTCCATGATTTCTTATCCTCAGCCTTTATTTATGTTTATTACTCACTAGGTCGGAGTACTCACATTACTCCCTGCACCTTGCGTGCAGACCCAGGTACACCACAGGTTGAGTAAGGATTTGTTTAGCTGAGCAGCAGTATCCGGGAGTATCGAGGTAGCTGCATGGTGTTCGCAGCCTTGATCTCTCCCATCTATCTTTATCCTTTTATTCCGCATTTTTCCTAGACAGACTTGTGATAGGTGGATATTCTGTATTAGAGGCTCATGTTCGTGACACCGTATTCTGTTGGGCTATGTTGTGGTATTCTAATTGAACTTCCGCAGATTTTATTATTATTTATAAACTTGAAAGTAATGACTTAGTAAATATCCCTGTGTCATTTATCTATAATCTGAGTAAGAAATTGGGATAATGTTGTTGAATTGTCGGGCTTGCCTAGCAGTGTGTTGGGCGCCATCACGACCAGGTTTGGGGTCGTGACAAGTTGGTATCAGAGCCTAGGTTACTTGGTCTCGCGAGTCATGAGCCGGTTTAGTAGAGTCTCGCAGATCGGTACGGAGACGTCTGTATTTATCCTCAAGAGGCTGCAGAACCTTTAAGAAAACTTCACATTCTTGATTTCTTATCGTGCGTCCTTGATTCAGCTTGAAATATAACTCTTTGAATTCCTTCCACGCATTCGTATGCGCGAACGAGCGCTCAGTATCAAATGTGCCTTGGTGGCTTGTGATTCCCCGATTAAGGGGCGAGATGTAATCTCCGCGAGTTTGATGTTGGGCTAGTCTGGAGGACTTGAGGCCGGATCTTGCCTATGGCTTGAGCACTGAAGTGCTGATCGTGTGAGTAAGTGTTTCGAACTTATATGTTCGGTATTGTCCCTATTAGTGGAAGTGATGGCGGTTTGGTATTCATGTGATGAGTATGTTAGTACTGCGAGATGTATCTATATAACTTGATAGTGACGAAGAAGTCTGCTGGATAATAGATGAACGGATAAGTGTTTGATTCCTATTGTGATTTGTGTGTAGCCTAAATTATGGGCGCGTGAAGGATATTTTCGTGTTTCCTAGTTGGAAAGTAAAGTGTAATACATGTGGTGGTATGAGTTCAGACTCAGGAAGACTAATGACTGTGTAACGTATATGATAGTGGAAGGTATGCTGAAGTACTAAATTGAGGCGTAGCAGGTGGGTTATCTCCTGC